GCTGTGTTCTGCAAACAGCTGGCTGTGACATACCAACAGGTCCTGAAATCAGTTTAAGGTACTACGATTAGATTTTCTTAAAGTGACATAAAATACAAAGAAAAAAATTAGAGCACATCACAATAGGGTAGTATTTTTTTCATGAAATTTCTTTTTTTCAATTTCATGTGGTATGTATGTTTGTAAATACTGGGTTGTAATGAAAAATATGCCTTTTACTTTGGGTTATGATCAAAAGAATTTTAAAACCACTGGCCCAGAAACTATTAAGCATTTTGTGTTTAACTGTTGGTAGGAGTGGAAATTAATATAACCTTTGCTTATAATGACAATGTCACTTAAATACTTGATTCCAAGAAAACATTCAAAGTACACAAAAATCTAACAAACAAAACAAATAAAAAGTTAGGTAGTTGAATGCTTTCTATAGCATCACTTATAAAAATGAAAAAAATTGTATATAACTTGACCAAATGGTTCAATGAATTATGGTACACCTACATGATAAATGGTACCAATCATTAAAATTTACTGCACAGGAGTGATCTGAAGGATTATTCATATCAACTCTTAGATGCAAATGAGAGATTAAAAATTTTAAAACTCACAATGCAGAGAAAGAATACGGTGCAAAAAACTCAGACATCTCTGAGAAGTATAACTTTGGCATATATTTGCTTTGTTCTTGTACTTTTCTGTATTTTCAAAATACATTTCTACAATGCATTTCTTTTGTATTGGTAAAAATAATACAATAAATGTGATTTAAAATCTGCTTTACTCAGAAGAGAAGCAGCTTTCCCCAAGTGATGCTCATGTTAGACAAAAGCAACCAACATTAAAGTTAACAATTGAGACAATTAGGATTTCACAATGCTGAATGGTTACAGTGGAGAGGCAAACATAAGGTGGTAGATATGCTCAGATCTTGGTAAACTGCACGATGACTTCCCATCCTCTCATCTTCTAACATCTCCAGCTCCTAAACTAGACACATGACATCAAAATTTGTTCCCAGGAAATAAGCTGTCAAAATGGGCACCCTTGCTCTTAATATGAGTGACCTGTAGGCAAAGCCAGGGTTCTTTCTTTCCAAAAAGTAACAATAAAGTCATATGCTTAAAATACAGTGTCTGGGGAAAAAAAAATAGGAAAGCAAGAAAAGGCCAAAGTGGACAAGTTTTGAGGAGTAATCCCAAGTTCTAAGGATAATAAGGGAAATGGACACATAAAGCATTCATTCACTCACTCCATCATTCAATCCCTGTCTTTTAGAGCATCTTCCTATCACCCCATCAGCTGCTCATCATTTGGTCCTCGGCTGCTTCCTGCATAGACCACACTATCACCAGCCTTAGTCTGTTGTGATAAGGATTAGTCCCTGCCCTCACAGTCCAGCCTCAGTTTGCTCATTTGTAAAACAGATCAGCAAGCATCACTGACACTGTCAAGTGCACACCACATCCCAACCCCACATGAAGGCTTTGTCTCTGTGAACACAGTCAGTGGCACTGTGGTCCTGGGGCTTGTGAGCAGACCCAAATGCTAATCACAGACTGCTGCGTAGACAGGGTGCTTCCCTTTTTCCAGGTCTAATTCATTCCTCTTGTCAGTGTTTTCCTCCTCAGCAACCCCACTTGGACTCAGCCCCTGCCTACCCTGTGTCCCTCAAATGCCACATCCCTCTCTTCATTCTGTGAGCAGGTGTCCCCTGCCTGTGATACTGTGATATAATAAAGTCATGTGGTCTTCATCCATGGTCCTGGCACTGAGCTCCTAACATAATACAGTGAGTGCGAATTTGTTCTCTGTCCCCAGCTCTTGATTCAGAATTCCTAAAACGCTTGTCATTTCCTGCATGGTAGGGGTGGGTGGGGCACATTCTGTTCTAGTATTTGGTCTTTGGCCCTGGTTCCTGACCCAGAGTTCTTAAATCCTTTGAAATTTCCTGGGTGTTAGGCGATCTTTTGTCCTAATCAGGTAACCCATAATGAGCTCCTGGACAGTTTCAGGATGGGGCCCGCTCACCTCACTGATCAAGCCAGAAGAAGAAGCTTGGAACACTCATCTTTTCCTCCCATCTTTTAGGAAGGAGAGAGGGACTGAATATTGAATTAATGGCCAATCATGCCCATGTGACAAATAACCACTAAAATATGTGATCAGAGAGTTTGGTGAGTATCCTCACCTGCCAGGAGGGTGATGCAACCCAATTCCATGGGGACATAAGCTCCTGTGCTCCAAACGCTTCTAGACCACAGCCCGTGTCTCTTCATCTGGCTGCTCATGTGTGTCCTTTGTCATGTCCTTTATAATAACAGGTGAATGTGTTTCCCTGAGTGCTATGAGCTGCTATGTCAAATTATTGAACCATTTTCTATTGTTGTTATAAAATACCTGCAGCTGGATATTTTAAAGGGGAAAGAGGTTTATTTAGGTCACAGTTTCAGAGGTTGAATGTCAAAAATAAGGTGACCCTATATTTGGCCTCTGGTAAGGGCCCTCTGGCTATGCCACAACATGGCGAAATCTAGCAGAAACATAGTCAACACCAGTGAACAGTGCATGGGTAAAAGGGGTCATGTACCAAAAGAAAAGCAAGAGAGGGAGTCCAGAAAACCTAAGTTGCTTTATAACAACTCGCTCTTGAGGTAGATTATCCAGTCCTGCAAGAATCATCTTGCCTCAGGAGAGCTAACCCTTTCTACCAAGAGAAACAATCTATTCAGGAAAGTGCCCGAACACCTCTTGATGGTCCCATCACCTTAATAGTGTCACACTGGGGAATCAACCCTCAACACTAGTTTTGGTGAGGTCAAGCCATAGAAGAGAGGATGAGTCCAGGAGGAAGACTGTACAACTAGACTATCACACTTGACTCTGATCAGACCCTTGCCTCAGGCTGAGGCATCCGTCAGGGTGACACAATCTGAATTGGTTCGGTGCTCTAGCAGTGTCCTGATTCTCCCCGTGAGGGCTGCTCCTGTCTGAGGGGTCACTTCAAGTCTTGTAAGACTGCATAACTCTGTAATCATAAAACTCCCCTAGCCCCACCTGTGATTGAATGTGAGTAAATAGATAAAGATGCTTCTTAGTTCCGGGACACTAGATAAGATCCCTATCAGTCATAATTATCCAACCCTTT